CTCATTTAATTATCCCAACAATACTTATCTACGGACTTAAACAGTCTCAGGCAAAGATGTTCTCTTTAATTATTAGGTCTCAAGGATCAGAAAAAGAGATTTAATCTTTGACAAGTCTGATTTACGAACCGTATTGCATATAGATGCTAATATACACGCAAATATGCATTCTCATGCAATCGAGCAAAAATAACAGAACTAATATGAAAGAAAACTAACCAAACCAAGTGATAATAAACTTGTTTCAAAAGATCTAGTGAGAGCGAAACGAATTATGGAATATACCTAACAGATACTCGTAAACAAGTTGAGACATGTTTGCCCCTAGTGCTAACTTACAGGAGCATCATCCAGTAAATGAGCTGTAACGGAGTGCGAGTGTCGAACATTTGATGCAAGAAACTTATCTTGGCTGATGGTACCGCCTGGTTGAGGCCCATATAGAAGAGATTCAACCTGAGGACTCAATTCAGGCATGATTGCTATCGATTTTGCCGTAGCGGCCATCTCTCCTTCCGTCACACATCGAGAATCCGAATTACATGGCTCATCAAGCAGCAGAGTGCTTGCAAAATGAGCAGCAGATGGTGCAAGTGCGGAGTCAGGACTACCAGAAGGGGCAGCAGTGGTAAAGGAGCCTTCTGACCAGATAGAGGATAGATGACCGATCGGACTGTTGTTTTAGCGTAAACAATGAATTCGTTGATAGGACAGAAAATAGAAAAATTGAAGGAGATAAAAAGTTGAATAGAAGAATGTGGAGATTAGTGACGTAAGGTGAGGATATGGACGATATGGAATAATATGAAAATGGTTGAAGAGCGAGATAGAGAAAAGTGGAAGGAATAAATAAGTGATTTATTGAATTCGAAAACCTGAAAAAAAGAGAAAGATAAGAAAAGCCATGAAAAATTACGGTAGTTGCTATCATGGTCTTGATCAGGAATTAGTTATATCATTTATTATATTCTCCTAAGCCCAGCAAACAGGGAGTTGGGATTTGTATTTGAAGTGTATTTAAATAATCCCACTAGGGCTCAAAAGAAGCAATTCCAAGAAACCTATTTCCCAACCGAGATGGTTAGGGCGATTCGGAGAAAAAGATGCCCTTAAAATGAACCACTATAAACAGCCTCAAGCAAGCAAGGTGGCCTTCCGGGTACTAAATAAGCGCCTCGAAATGCCTAACCATGCTGTCCGTGTTAATCAAATAAGCGCCTTAAAGACACCAGAAGCTGAATATTATATTCACCTCCAAGTACAAGGGCCAGTGATGAGAAATTGGGATCAGGTGAGCCTACGGCTGACTATCCTCTGTTTGGGAACTAGAGCCAAAGAGAGCCTGTCTTGATGGGATGGATGTAATGCATTTCCAAATTGTAGTGTAGAATAAACAAGATTAGATAGTAAGGGATAAGCAGAATCAAATTGCAAGGACCCAAACGAAAGTAGAGCACAAAGGTCGTTTTTTCATATAATAAATAAGATCAGCGTTCAGATAATGAACGGGCCCAATACAATTTTTCTATACCACTCTACGTACTAAATAAATGAAGAGACACAAAAATAATGCACCTAGCCGACAACAGGAATGAATGTATAAAAACTGGGTTTCGAAGAATTTCTTAATAGATTGGTCTTAGAGTACCTTTCATTTCGTTTGGAAAAGCGAGTGGAAGGGATTTGTAAGTTAACCTGGCCGGAAACTGTAGGGAGAGTGCCTTAGAAGTGGGACTGTAGATTTGTGCGAATGGGCCATAGGCGCACCGCGGCAATGGATGACATGCTCCTTATAGACGTCATAGCTCCTACTTTACTCCCCTATGTATGGTTGGAAAAGAAAGTCAAAAGTAAGCCTGCGTTTGTGGGTTTTCTATATGCGTCTCTACCTCAGCTGGTTCGCTCTTTACCAATCAGAACATCCAGTAAAGGTAAATCACCTTTATTTGCTAACTCTATGGTGAATTTCGTCTCCTAATCTGTCCTGTTGATCAAACCAGACATTCTCCAGGTCTTCTTTGCCATGCTGCTAATTGGCAAAATACTCGTCCATATATCGAACCAATAATTTTAGGAATTAAAGTGCATCTTGAACTAGGTGTTCTTCAAATTTAGCCGGGTAATTGTTTGCTAAAGTTGATGACAAAACACAATCCCATAGCTAAACCTCGTCTTTGTTCGTACAGTTTATTATTAGATGTAAACTATATACTGTGTATATTTAGGTTAGTCAGTATCATTATTGACACTTTATTTAACTTCATACTCCCTAAAATCTCTAAGTGTTGGTCTACTGTCGATTGCAGAGCCTGTGTGGCATCGTCTACAGAAATGTTAGTATACATAGACTCAAGGTCAAAAATCACCAACCAATCCCCATTTCCTATGTCCTGCTCATCAACTAAGCTGACTAATTCATAAGAATGCTTAACTGAAATCTGACATGTCTTGGAGATTTGCTTTGACTGGTGACAAATAAATAGGGATGTT